TGGTGTCCTACTTAGGAGTCACAGCTACCCTGTACGAAGAGATGACCCATTCCTAAATGAAGGGTTGTTGTTATTTTTTTACCTTCTCATTACTTTCTAAAGATTATACTGTACCTTGTTTACCAAAGAGGCCATTTTAGATGAAGATTTTTGTAGATACACCGCTGTCTTTCCATTTTTGTTGGTTATACAAAGTAAAGATGAGACACACAATCCTCCATGATGTAGTTTTTGTGAATAACAACTAAGGATATAATGATATTTGTGATTTTGCAATATCAGGATAAAAAAATGTCTTGCTAACATCATGGGACAGTGATCGTGTCTACCAGAATATTACATATGATTATATTGCTGATATAACTGCGTTAAAGTTGCAGGATTTGAAACTGACATAGCGGCTTCTCTGTCAACACCTTTTAGAGCTGATGTGTGGCAGCATTTCAGTTTTCCTATTTCAAGAAATCTCACGGGCAGAAAGGAAACTGACAAAATGCACAACAACATGTAAATACTGCCAAACAAAAGCAATACTAGTTTCCCGGATTCATCTCACATCGCGGTTGGGGCACAGCTGTGTGCTACACTTAAACAGATATTAACAAACAAACCAGATGCACCTAAACAAAATCAACCACTTAGAAACTACCCTTAAGTATTTTCTCTTGTAAAAATAGACCATGATGTTTGAAAAAAATCTCCAGTAAAGTACAAATCTCAACTTTATGTGGCTTGTTCTACTGTATTTCAGTGTGTCTTCTCTTTGTTCTGGGGTCCAAGCAGCAATCTGCCCCCTACTGCCCCTGGTGGTCGGGGGTTACCTGCTTCAACTGTTCTGGTCCTGAGAACCCGACCACATGTCACTACGGCGGTTAAACATACCTAGGAGGTACTAAAACACCCATGTTCCATTTTGTTTAAGATCCAGCTGCTGCAATGTTTTATTTAAAGACTACTACTGACTGCTGCATTATCTTTAAAATACATTTACATACATCATACAAAAAAGGCTGACTTATTATTTAGTAAGGGGCTTTTTTTTTTTAGATGTTTCCTTCATTTTTTAATATTGTAATGGTTCTGATGTCTAGCATCTAGTTATATGGTTCTGATGTCTAGCATCTAGTTATATGGTTCTAATGTCTAGCATCCTGCTATATGGTTCTACATGTTATTGCCTGAAAAAATGTGAGAGGGGGGCGCTGTGAGGTGTGTGGGAGGAGAGAGCGAGGAAGAGCAGGCAGTTGTTGGTGTTGTTGTGGAGTGTTGAATGTTGGGAGTTTCAAAAGAGCTTTTTAGCATGTGCTAAAACACAGCATGGAAGCCTGTTAAGTTATTACAAATAAAAGGACATTGATACCACAAGAACGTCTGGCTGCTTGTGTAGGAACGGAAAGTATTACAATATTGTTGTAATTATCTTATTGTGGACTTTTTACTGTGGCAATATTGTACCATGGGTTTTTGGTATCTTTACATCCCTAAAGCAACTATTTAGGTATGACAGTTCAACAAAGCCTACAACTATCTAGAAATGTCCTATTGTACCGGAGGAGTGCACAACCATATTGTTCAACTGCATTATATATGACCTCAGGAGAGAAGGTGAGTTTATCTCAATGCTATTGTCTTACATTTGGAGTACAGCTGACAGTTTAATCAAATCTTGAAGCAATCAGTGCACTAGCTCCGATGGACACTTTCTTTGCCCTTGGAACCCAAGGAGTATTCAGAAACGACATCACTGCCAAAAATAGTCACTTCAGATACATCAGTGTGGACAATGAGATTAACCTCCCATCCTCTACCCGCTCAGATATCTAATGTCACAAAGCGTATCTTCTAAGCATTCAATCAACCTCCAAGAATCAAGTCTATAAACACCTTGCAATCCTTTATTTCTCTTTCAGCCTCTAAAAAACACTGGCTTCATACACATTTTTGTGTTTGAAATGTTTTTCTTTTCTCCAAAAAATGATGAAGTTGTGCTAATGCATATCAGAGAGACAGAGAGCGAATCAGAATTGGTGACAGTCTAGCAGCATGTGCATGCACTGCAATTTGTTGTTCAAATCTTAGGGCACCAAGTCCTGTGGACAGGCTGGAATCTGTCACAAACCCGCTTATCTATTATGAAGAGCTTTCCTGTTTTATGTGTTTGTGTTGCTATAAGACATACTGTATAAAAGGATGGAGACATGGTCCATCTCACCAAATATCTATTATGTTGAACTGATTTAATCTACTGTAGAATTAAAACATAAAGTGACAGCAGAAATGACAACATATAATCTCTGTTCCACTCATGCACACATCTTCACATACACAAATAAACAGTTCATAATTTCAGGACATGGATCTGGGAAGAAACATAACCTTCCTATTTTCAATTACATCTTTGACATCTTCAATAGTCCTGAATAGCTCTATGGCTTGTCTTGTTCCGCCTACGCTCCACTGTACGCATGTGCTTTACAATACATTAAAAGTGCTGACTGTGTTTGACCAAGCAGATGGGTGTTCTTATTCCAGCTGTAAATAAAATCAGCTGGAAGTGTGTCCCGCTGCTTACTGTAGTGTGAGGTTTATACATTATTATTGTCATAATATGAATTTCTGACACAGGAGTGAGGTGTGCCAACTGGTCCAGTCGTGTAAGAACAACAACCGCTCCCTCAATGTGGGGAAGACTAAAGAGATTGTTGTGGACTTCAGGAGAAAACCTCTAAAGAATCCACCACTGACCATCAACGGTGCTGTAGTGGAGAGAGTGAGCAGCAGCAAGTTCCTGGGGGTGAACATCTCTGAGGACTGGCTGCATCACTGTGTGGTACGGAGCCTGTACTGCCTCCTGCAGAAGGACCCTGCAACACATAGTGAAAACAGCCAGCAAGATCATCGGTGCCCGTTTGCCTTCCCTTACGGACATTTTTAACACCCGCCTCACCCGCAGAGCCATCAGCATTGCTGATGACACCTCCCACCCCGCAAACTCCCACTTCAGACTCCTGCCTTCAGGGAGAAGGTATCAGAGTCTTCAGGACCACTCCACCAGACCTACAAACAGCTTCATCCACCAGGCTGTGAGGATGCTGAACGCTGTCCATTACCTGCCCCCCTCTGCCCCTGGATGGTAACCCACCACAGAACATACAAAGACATAAAAAGACTACCTCTGCTGTTTTGTACAAACCCAGTACATTCCCCCTTCTTGTTATATTACATGCAAATCTGCTGCTGACTGTTTTTACCATCATATCTTCTGCTGTTGGTCATTTGCACTTCTGTCTATGTGCATCTGAATCTCACAACCATCTGACAATCTTCTTGTCATTATTTGCACTACTGTCACTGATTGTACATGGTTTGAGTCATAGCCTATTAGGTTGCACCATTTAGTTTTATCCTAGTCACCTTGACTTAGTTTTCTTATTCTTTTTAGTCTATTTTTACTCTACTTTTATTCTGTTTTAGTTTCCTAAATGGTATGGCATTCAATACTAGGTGAGAGAGAAGTGGTATTTCGGTTTTCTGTATGTCCTGTACATATAGTGAACTGACAATAAAAATCTTTAATCTTGATCTTGACAACCTATACAATCCATATGCTCATTGGTCCCTCCCCTCTCATACAACCCATGCGATGTGGGAAGTAACAAAGTACAATTACTCCATTAAGTAGCTCTATGAAGTATCTGTACTTTACTTAAGTATTTATTTTCCTGACAACTTTTTACTTTTATTTCCTACACTAACAAAAATATCTGTGATTTCTACTCCATACATTTTCAGGCTAGTTACTTTTAGTTTTAATACATTTGAGGGGAATTATCAACTTTTTTAGCACTTACTGGCAAATGTGTACACCACTGCACTGGGTGACATGTTCCAAATCCTATGACTGCCTCGTATCACCGAATGGGGTCTCATCACTGAGTGTTTGACGAGCTATTGCCCCATACTGGGGACTTGGAAATTCCAAAGAAACTGAGTTTTGTGACAACTGGATAAATAATGTCCAGCCTATGCTGTATGGAGGACAAACTGCTGGCTTACTGAAATTAATCCAAGAGAAAACTATAATTTGTACCATGAAAATGGGATGGATGTGAGGCCATGGTAACTTTGACCTTTGACCACCAGGACTCTGACCCACAGCCTCTGGAACCCTAAAAAATCCCAAACAAGTGATCTCCCTCCATGCAGCACCTGCCCCACACCTCTATCTACAGTCTGAACTCATGTCCTCTAGTCTCCCACTAAACAGCCTCAAACCTGCAGTAACAGCCTCGAGATGGATATCTGTAAGAGTTCATGGCAATCCATCCAATAGTTGTCAAGATATTTTATTAAAAAACAAAAATAACAGCACCAGAGGAAAGGTCAGGGGACCACCACAGTCAGTACAAAATGTTATGACCATCCATCCAGTAGTTGTTAAGATATTTCTGTCTGCATCGAGGCTTTGGACTGACCAACAGAGCAATACAATGGGGGCGACTGTGGTTCGGTGGGTAGAGCAGTCATCTCCCAACCGGAGGGTCGGAGATTCAAATCTCGGTGCCTGCAGTCCACATGTCAAAGTGTCCTTGGGCAAGAAACTGAACCCCCAAGTTGCCCCCGATGGTTAGAGCCATCGGTTGAGTTGGCGCTGCCGATGGCTGCCTAGGTTCTGTACCGGAAACAAATTCCTTGTGTGTAACATACTTGGCCAATAAAGGTGATTGTGATTGTGATTATCCTTATCCTTATCCTTATCCTCTTGTGGGCAGGTACATCATCAAGTTGGAGATGCTGTCACAACTTTCATGCACTTCCTGTTTCATGCTTTTACTTTTAAACACTTCTGCTACCTCACCCTACACTCATTTGTTCCTGTTTTACAGCTCCCCATCACCAGCTTTGATTGAACTCAGCTGTTTGCAATCAGTCAATTAGATTGTGTATTTAAGCTATCAGCTCACACACTTCGGTTTCCAGTTTGTTGTCAGTTGCTACTCTTTGTTGAAGAGCTCAGTGGTTCCTCTGCTGTGCTATGGTCCTGCTAGTCATGCTTCCATGCTGCCGCTTTGTTTGTCTTGCTGCTCAGCTGTGCTCCGCTTGTGGTGAAAGGACACTTTTTCCCCAGCAGTTCTTGTGGTTTGTGTGTGGACTCATGCCCGGTACTATTCTGTTTCACAAAATTACTGTGGTGATTCCATTTTGTCAAGTTGTTCATTTGTGTTCTGTTTTACTTGTTGTGGTTTTGGTAGTGTTTAGTTTTTAAACTTAAGGTTATGTAGGTTTTCATCAGCTGCTTCTTTCTTTAATATTAAAGCTCATTTATCACATGTATGTGGAGACTAAGCTGGTATCTGTTGTGACAGAATCTGCCAGTCACACTTGGCAAGGACTGTTTTGAAACCTGCACTGATGCCTGTGTTCAATTAAATGTAGGCCGGTTTGTGTGAAACTGAATTTTTAAATAGTAGCCTAGAGGCTACGTTTAATTCATTGTGTAGTAACAGATACCTCTTGAACATGCATGGTGGTACATGTCAGTCATCCAGGAGTATTATAGTATTGATTTATGTGCCTCATTAGTTTTGTAATTCAAACAAAGAAATTTACCATGTTTTACATTTAATGCCAATTTTATTACATATCTCAAACTACTGTGCAGGTTTTTGAAATCTCCCTGAATAATGAGGGCATATTTTATTCACTTTCTGCAGGTTTTGGACTACGTAACCGGCGCAGCACTCACTTTGAAGCTCACAAGGTGAATTCAAAATTTAATTCTGTATTTAATTGGGAGCCAGTGCAGGGGAGTATGGGAGTAATGTATGCTCTTTGGCTTGTCAGTAGTTTAACTTGACTGCATTTTAAACTAACGAGAGTGATAAGACACATAAATTAGGCCATGCAAGAACAAAATTGATTTTGGAAGTGTATAGTGACCATGTGGTAACTTGTGACACGGATGTGATGTTTTCAACAGCTTTTATATTTAGCACTTAAGTATAACCATTGTTAATGTCAATAGATGTTTAGGAAGCAATTGCATTTTGATTTGTTAACATTAGGGATGTTGCATGTATGTTTACACTGAACATATCAGGATGATAACCAGCATATTAAGGAAAGATTATGGTCTATATATGCGCAAAGATACAGACTTCAGCCACAGTGTTACATTTAGCTGAAATGTCTGCCTCAGCTGCACAGTTAGCCTGTCATTCAGTCCTATCATGTTGAGGAGGCCAGAATATTAATGGTATGATTTGACTCTGGGTCAGTAATTCTGGAGGTGGGGGGTTCCATGCCATACTGTGCTAATGTTGACTTATTATAAATTTGTTTTCATTTCAAAATCCCTTGGATTATTTTGTGCTTGGAGTAATATGGGTCAGAGGTGAATCACAAGGGCGGCACTTATAAATTCTGTAATGGGTTTATGTAAACTGTAGCATCTAATGGTGTTCAGTTTTGTTGCATTTTACTTTTGCTGTCAAAGTAAAGCATACAGTCAAGCTTACTTTTTTCAATAATGCAGTATAACAGTCAACATTTAATAGTTTATAAAACTTCAACCAGCACACTTTTCTCTCCACAATTTTTCTTTTTAAACTGCCTTACAGCTGTCTGCCTGCACAGATAACCCCCTTACTGTGATGGTGGAAATCACTGGAGTAGAATAGGAGATGAGGTGGACAGAGAAAGAAACATCAAAAGGTAAATTGTACTTTCTCCTGTAATGCTCTGAACATCAAAATGATTGATAGTGTCTGTAAATATAAAATATTTTTTGGGTGAAATACTAACTTTACACCTTAAATAGCTGCTGATGTTTGATAACAAGTGCAGATTCAAACCTGTGAAGTTTTTTTTTGTTTTTTTTAGTCTGAAGTGTGGGGGGAAAAAAATACAAACAAGTGAAGCTGAAGTTACTTAACTACCTCTATAGTAGGCTTACCGCTCATTTTCAGCTTACCTGCCATTGATCTTAAAACATTATCCAAACGTGGCTGGTTTCAAAGATGTCAAACTGCAGGTGACATACTACCATGTGCATCTAGTCCATGAGCTCTCAAACTTGAAGTAACTGGCACCTGGGCACAATTAAAAATTAAGGTTAACTGTCTGACCTTTTCAGCTCAGGGTCAAAGATGAATGGCTTGTTCATTTGTCCTGAGATCTTTAGTTGTTTTGCATTTCCTAATTTTCTGACTTTTGCATTTTATTAATTTTAATTGGTACAGAAATGCAGCAACCAAACTTGGAATGCAAGATCAAATGGATAAGGTGTTGCCATATTCTGGCCTGTAAATGTAGAGTTAAGAGTGGTGGCCTATAGTTTAAGGTGCATTAACTAAAATTATTCCCTATCACACTGTTGCTTACAGAACTTCTGTACCCTGTTAATCATTTCCCTCATTCAAAAGCCCATAGTCCTTCCTGCCTCCCTTTCTTTATCTACCTCCACAGTATCTTTGCATAGAATCCAATAAACTGTCTAAAGCACCAGTGACCTTGCATCAACTGTGAATATTAGCATTGTCACCATCTCATGCCTTAACATGCTATTCAGTTCATAACCTGCTTAATAACGGGGTGTTGGTATTATGCATGTTCCCTGTATAGACTTTAGGTGTTTTAGAGAATCTTTGTATCCTATCTCATCATAACATGTCGCTGGCACTTGACACAGCAGCAGAATTCACAGATGAAATGCTCCTTTGTCCAGTGACTTCTGTGAGTGTACTCGTTAAACTGCCGCTACCACTGCATTCAGACAACACTACCATTGTGCTAGAGCCTTGCCCTCTAAATGTATGACAGCGTGAGGCCAACTGATCCCTTTAATGCTTTGAGGTTAAATGTAGGATTTGCAGAATGGTTTTGAAATGCTGTAGTTTCGTACCTGATTTCCAGTCTGGTCCTGGTACTCACACATTTCACTGACAGCTCTCCACAGGATAGTGTATAGTCTGAGTAGATGTTGATCCACTTGCCTAAATCACTGCAGTAAACCACTGTACAACGCTTAAATTTGAGGCATGGCTAGCAGGCCATAAAATTCTGCTTTTAGCTTCCATTTTGATCTCTTAAATGAGTCTCCGGTTGCACAATGTCATACTGTGGATATGCCCTAGATTATTAGCCCAATATTAATTGCACATTCTTTACTATAGTAGATTCAGTGTAAAAAGAGAGGACCATTTCCCCTCATGAACTGTCTCAGATGGCACTGCACTCAAAGGGAAACTGCTTCACTGCTGTACAACAAGTGATACTTTCAGTTTAGTGTAAAGTAAACAATGAGCCATGCAAAAGGAGGAAAAAGCATGTCAGTTCCTTAGCATGACAATCTGCAGATCTTTGTACCTATGCTACAAACTCAACTGTTGCAGAGAAAGGTAGATTAACTTTGTTAGCTGGGAAAGTTTCATGAAGGATACCAGGCAAGTAGTTCAGTTGCCCCTTTTATAACTTGAACACTAATGCCCTATCTGAAAAAAAAACCATTGTATTTAAAAAAAAAAAAAACAAAAACTTGTGCACAGTGGCAAGTTTTGGACTCAAGCAGTTCAGCTGCATCCTGTATTGAACTAATGAAGATGAGAATAGGTGCTTCAGGAGCAGGCCTGTGCCTCTAATCACTTCATCTCCCTATAAATATTCCTACACCTGTACGTCAGCTGTTTTTCTTTCACAGCCCTCCTTTTATGTCCTCCTGCCTTTTTGCTTCCACTTGGGGTGTCTGCCATGCCCAAGAGCAGCACAGAATGCTCAGGTGTCCCAGTACAACTAAAACGTTACCTTACAACAGGGTGGCCAATCCGCAAGGCTGCTGCCTCGCATGTTTTCAAACTCTCACCTACCCCCTATTTACTTAGATCAGCTGTGTTCAGTCAGAAGCTAGAAGACACCATTTTAGGTGGAGTGAGGAAAAGGGAATTGGTATCTTCCAGCCTCTGACTGAACACACCTGCCCAGGTAATCAACTGTGGGCAGGGCAGAGAACTAGAAATTCAGCAAGGCAGCGGCACTTGAACTGGAATTGGCAACCCCTGTCTTACAATTACACCTTCTGCCTCATCACTGAGGTATGGGCCTAGCTGGTGTGTTGAATTGCTGGCAGCTATAGGTGAAAAATCAAGTCACCAGGATTAATTGTGTAAACCATGAATGTTTGTACAAAAATTCTGCTACAGGAAATGTTGCATCTAAAATGTTAGTGGACTGTTTTTGAGTTCAAGCAGTATTGCAGCTATTCATTTCTGAGTAGTTAGATGACAGTTTAAATTTGATGCATGAGGCCAGTTCTGATTCATGCTTAATAGAGCTTTGGCCATTTGGTGCCAGGAGAACAAGATACATCCCCTTTATCTTGCGTTAGAGTACCTAAAGCTATATAAATCTGTTGGCAAACAGTTGCTTGTTTACACATTGAGCAGATGGTGTTCATTTCAACTGTGCATTTTGTTTTAAGAATCTGCTGCTACAGGTAAGGGCAATTAGACTGAATCAAAATAAATACTGAAATGCAGTTGCATGATTCTATGTGGATACATCGCTGTCAACAGCACATTTTATATTGCATTTAAAAAAAGTTGCTTTTGGCTTTTTCCCGTTAGGATCGTCACAGCGACATTTCACATTTTGACACTTGGCATGTTTTATGGCAGATGCCCTTCCTGACGCAACCCTGACTCGAACCTGGGCCACAGCAGCACTGTACCAACACTAGTCTATCAGGGAACCCATTGCATTTCAAAAACTTGTAAGGTTATTGATTTTAAATGGCTTTACAAACTTGTGTCCTTTCAAAGTTTGTGTAGGTGCTGAAGCAAAGTTAAGCATTTAATAACTAGATTAAATATTGTACTTCATGTACAGCAAGTGTCTGAAAGGGTTTATGTGCAGTATCATGGACAGAATAAGACACAGGTAGTGGGAGATTCATAAAGTCCAATCAAAAGGAAAATGCAAATCTCTGAACTCATGGCAAACATCACCTGCATCGCAAAGATTATTAAAAGTCTAATTATGCATATCAAACACTGCAGACGGGACAATTAGAACAGGGAGGCTTCAGGCTGCATGGAACAGATGGTTTGCCCATTTAAGGAAACTACAGACTTAGCTCAGCATTTTCTTTTTTGCCTTTGTGGTAGCTGCCTACAGAAATACAATGTTTCTAATAGGCCTATCTTTTAGTAAATGATGGGTTTTAGTGAAAGGTTTTCACACATTTATCCACACCTTGACATTGTTTGAAGCCTTGAAACCATATTTGCAATTTTTTTTTTTAAAGATTTTTTTGGTACATGGGTGGGCAGCACTAAAGCACAGTGGACAGAAAGTAATTACGGTTTACTGTCCTTTTTGTACTTGAGTATTTTCATTTTAAGCTGTTTTATACTTGTGCTTAACTATATCTGAGAAATATTTTACTTTAACTCCAGTATGTGTATTTGATAAGGTACAAATTTTAAACAATTTGCATGTAAAAATTTAAAATGTAATGCAATGCTTTACTACACACTTTGTTTTTTTACTGACAGCTATTTTAGCTGTCTTTTAAACTTTGGTGTTTCTACTACTTCCACAAAAGTCATTATTCTAGATTATCTACAGACCACAGTAGAAACAGGTGGAACAGGTTTATACAAGGGAAATGGGGGGGAAATATGTATATAATCCTGTGTCCAGCAGTGAGATAAGTGGCTATTTAAGATGGGCAGCTTCTAGGCTGTGATATCACAGAACAAGGACCTGTTGTAAAACTAGCTTGTACAGTATATGACTTTATAATTAGTCCAGCTAATTGTGTTTCATTTGTAGTGTAGTTCAGTTATATCCCACTTATTTTCCTATTTAAATTCACTATGTGAACACTGGTAGTTAAACATAAGCATGGGCTTGTTGTGCTCCAAGGGCCCCAAACTCACTGAATTGTCACACAGTGCTTTGTCTTAAATCATTAATTACAATAATATGAACCACATTAGTTGCAGTACAACTGAACATGCATTTCATTTCTTTGTATTGTGCCACCATTCACATTGTATATCAGAGATGGATGAGTAAACGGACAGACAAATGAAAACATGGACAAGTAGGTAGCTGCATGGCAGAGAACTCCACAAGTGAGCAGTCGGATGGCTACTGACACATGTGCTAATGTTTGCTATAACCACTGCGTGGCAGAGAACTCCACAAGTGAGCAGTCAGCTGGCTACTGACACATGTGCTAATGTTTACTATAACCACTGCTCTCCAAACCCCCAACCCACATCAGACCTTAAACCAAGTCGTCACCCTACAATTCACAGATTTTTACATCTTGTCCCCATGAGGTGAGCAGAGTCCCCACAGTGTGAGTGTATAAACAGATTTCCATCTCCACAGTGTGAATAATACAAGGCACTTGCACAGACACACATGCAACTAGTCACTAAGATGCACAGTTGGAGGGCGGCTCCATAAAGACCTGAACTCATTGATCTTCTCAGGAGAGGTTACTAGCGATCAATCTCACTGCACAACAGTGACCCCTGGTGGAGGATCAAAGTTCCCCAGCAGCAAGGACAACAGTTCTCCCACTCACTCCCTCCATTTCCCTTTGATGGAAGAAAACTAATAACAATAATGCATCTCCAAAGATACTTTGTACATGTAATATGACGTAAGAATCCTTACAGCAAAATTGTCATTTAAACATTTCAGTGGCAATGGCTGATGCTGAACACAGAACAAAAGTCTATCAGGTTTTTCATCACTTCTGTAATGTAGCTCCACCCAAAGAACTGTAGACTGAAGTGGGCAGAGTGAGGCGGACACTTCCCCTGTAGTGTGTAAATCCTGTTTCTCTCTCTCTGTGCACCTCCCACACCATTTTGCCATATGCCACACATCATTTTTTCCATATACCATCATAACGAAGCACAATGCTACTTATTCGCTTGTGCTCCAGATAGAGCAGGAACGGCAGCAAGAGTGTTTCTGACAGGAACAAGTAATGTGCAACTGAGTGCTTATGGTTTGTGACATAGTGTGTTTACGTTGCAATGCGTTAGTCACTGCCAACAAGTATGAAGCTGCTTTTTGATTCAACAATAAAAACAACCTAAAATTATACACAAATATGTTAAATGTCTTCTATTTAGGCCATCATATTTTCATTTGTCACTTCTATAAATGGGATCCCACTGCATCTACCTGTGAAATTGCTCTCCCTGTTTAGCAAAGATTTATATGGACCTTTACACCACATGTATAATGCATGGACTTGGAGTTTTAAATATATCAATAAATAAAATATACCCCGCCATCGTTTGTAGTGTGTGAATGTAGCTGCTGACTGTGACTTCTCTGTCAGCTTGAGCATAACAAAAGTATATTTAATCAGAATGTACCCAAGGCAGGAACTAATGCTTGACTAAATAATAGTCATACAGAATTGAACTATGCTTAGTGATTTCATCCTGTGTTTTTACTTAATATATTTTACTTTTCAAAACCTTTTTCTAGAAATGTTCACCATAAATTAGTCTCATTTAAAAAAAAAATATACAAAGTGGCAATATCTTCAGAAGGTTTACTTTTCCAAGTATTTTTAAAAGTTGTATAAAAGCCTTTTGTGGTTCTGGAGGGAGCTGCACAAAAATCTGCTAAACTGCCCCAAGTGATGTCACTTTGAGCCTCACTGAAGCTAAAAACTTTGAATATAATATTTTTGTTTGAGCCTAGGGGTTCAAGGTGGCCTTAGCTACTAGCACAACACATCCAAATTCTTGATTGTTGAAGTACTATTTTAATACAATAAACATTGTTTGCTTCAAGTCACCTTTGACTTGTAAGAAAAAGACCCATATTTCTCTTTGAACAAATGCTGTGATTGTCAATATACTGTATAGCCACTATGAAAAGGTTATGGCTTTATTATTACAAGTCGGGTTTATATATTAAAATCAACAAAAACTTAAAGTGCTTTGCAAAAAGAGAATATAAAAGGTACATCACCCCAAACAGCATTGTGGCCTCCAGACCAGAAAACAAAATTATAAGCAGTTTGAACCAGATTAAAAATATAACACTGATTAAAAGCAAGGAAATAAAAATAAGTTGACATTTAAAGACAGAGCTGATGCCATCTGAATACGCAGAGGCGGGGGGGGGGGGGCATTCTACAAAAGGCACATTCACCTTTAGTGTTTAGTCAGACCTTCGGGACCACTGGAGGAATCTGATCTTTAGACCTAAGCTGTCTAGTAGGAACATAGGGATGTAAAAGACCAGAGGGAGCAGAAGTATTTGAAGCTCTAGAGGTCAGAGGAATTATTTTAAACCTGGAACTGAATCAGGAGCCAACGGAGTGAAGCAAGCAGTGGTGTCACATGCTCATGTTTTGAGTACCTGTCAGCAAACAGATTGCAGCATTTTGGACCAACTGCCGATGATCTAAGGACGATAGACATATGCCCACATAAAGGGAGTTAAAATAGCCTGACTAGAAATAAAAGCACATATGAGCTTTTCAGAATTATTAAAGCTCACAAGCTGTTTAACCTTCGACAGGAGTCTAAGTTGAAATAATTACACATTATTAATCCAAGTGGTATTATGTTCCCTTAGAAACATAATTGCTTTTGTAAATTAGAAGAACAGGACCACACACCACTGGTGTAGGAAAGAAATTAGGGCAGTTACCCTAACTGTTCATTATTAACATCCATCATGGCTTCAAAAACAACTCCCTAGTCATATTTCCAACTTGGGTTTTGTGTTCCTAGATCTCAGCAGCTGGGTATAGTCTTAACTTGAACCAATGTCAATAATAACTAAAGTTACAAAAATTTGACCCAAGCAGTAGTAAACCAGAATTTTGTGAGTTTTTCAGGTTGTAGGAGCCATATCATTGCCTTCCAGCTTTAGCAGTGCTGATATCAGAATCAGCCTTACTGGCCAGGTGTGTTAAACACATGAGGAATCTAACTCCGGTACAGCGGGTCCTAGTGTGCATGCACAATGTTCTTCCATAACGAGTAAACAAAACAGAAAACAGGAAAAGTTTACATGTAAGCTTTAAGGTGGGTATATTTTCAAGGTATTGCACTGAGGATTGCCGTTCTGTTCTACAGTCATGGGTTAAGTGTTCATCAGAGTAACGGCCTGGGGGAAGAAACTGTCTCACACATTACAACACTACCATACTTGCCTCACGCTTTACATTTCCAGTGCTTGCAGCATTTTCACACTTTGAGATACTTGATATCTACTGGCCCATGTAGCTCTTCCATTTTAGGCTGCCAGCAGTACAGTATCCATCTCCATTACATGGTCACAGATGGATAACAAGGCCAAGCCTGGCACAGCTCATAGAGTGCTGCTGTTCCTCTGAGAATACACCCCTGCCATCATATTCAAATAGACTTTTCTGCTGGCTCGCAGTGGCACACAATAGCAGATAGGGAGGAGTATGAGAGGGGCAAAAGGGAGGGGAGGTGTTGAGGTGAGACTGAGGA